ACATTTAAAGCTCGTTGCCACCTAAATGCTCATTATTATGCATTACTCATTACATTACTCTGATAGTTACCTCACAGAGTCAAGTGATTTAAACAATGATAATCATTTTAATTAATAATGTTTGTTTTATTATGTTCTAATCTACGATCATAAATCTATTCACTTCCAAAATTTAGGGGGTTCGACCGAACCCCCCGAACCCCAACCCCCCCCCCCCAAACTACGGGCCTGGTTATTGTTACATCAGCGATATACGTTCTTTCCATATCACGATATAGCACGTCACGTGACATTTCGCTTCGAGTCGTAATTATTTCTCCGATAAACTGCATGAAATTCTTTAAAAACTATATTCAGAAACACTAACCCCATTGTTCTGATTTTTAGCTTGTAGCATATTGTACCAACTGCTTCTAAGTGTGAGAATCGTCTACTGGCTGATAACGAGGGTCGTCCTCCATATTGAATTCAAGAAAAAAATAGTATTGCTATACGTTTCATAATTTGGGGGATCTTGATCTTGTTGTTTTTGCATAATTGACATATATACTAGTATTATCACATTTAACACTGTTAAAACTAACATAACATGCATAACATAACATGCACAACAATTTTCTTTCCTTCTGAACTATTGACCCACTGAATGTGAAATTTAGTTTGATTTGCGATATTACAAGCACTTTTTTTAAGAATTATTTTACAATAGGTCACATGGTTTGGCGTCCATTTTGAATATTAAACAACTCTAAATAAAAATAAAGTACTTTATCTAGCACTCTTCCGCTGCTGTTGTTGGCAGCATGGACGTATATATACACATAATTACGTATATATAAATATCGAATGTGTTACAATATAGCGTGACTTTTGGCGCCATACTTTAAATGGGTAAATTGTACGAAATAATTCATAATCTTCAGAACAGTTTATTCTAATTTTACTGTTGAATTATCATGGCACACTATGTATGTGTGTGACGTTTTTGGGACTACTTTATTACATGCGTCAGAATACATACTTTTGTAATGGTGTTATATGTCACCTGATCACCCAAGTGTATTGATATGTAAAAAGTAGTACCGTGGTGTAGGCGGAATAAACAAGAAGTTAAATTTGAAAGCTCTCTGGTTTGTTTGATGTTTTGTGTGTTCCCGAGTCAACACATCACAATGTATTTGCGTCAGTTATGCGATCTCACATCAGAAGGACTGTGTGAAGTGTGGCCACAATTAATAACCCGGCACACATTGTGGCCATCCATGATATTTGATTGTAAAACACAAAATAGTTGTGTGAATATAGTGGAATGTCATTTCTCAATATTGAAAACTGTAGCGGGAAGAATATTTTGTATTTTATTGAAGTGAAATAAAAATTACATTTTCAAATAATATACCAGTTGCGGTAAATTAAACTGTCCTTATTGGATTACAAATGTCAACACGTGCATTTCACATAATATGACAAATTCCATATCCATACAAATTTGGTTCTAGATCTGACGTGTACATGAAATGGCTGACAGGTGCCAAACATAA